GCTCGAAGGTTGACGCGACAAGCAATATGGACAATATAGTATGTATATTTATTAAATGCGTTAAAGAAACTTGGACCGACTACAGCTGGCCAAGGATGAAGGGAAGATAGAGAAAGATAGATAGAACAAACAAAATTAGAGAGGGATCGGCTTTAAGTTTTAATTAGAAAACTCATATAACACAAGATACACCCGGTTGACATTTAAACAAAAATATTCGAAATTTCCAACATTTTTTACTTTGACATCAAGATATTTTTTCAACTTGAATAATTAGGTATATATAAAAACAAAATGATTAAATAAAAATAGTGTTAATCTATTTTATTTATTTCAATAATAGCATTGATAGCATCGATATTATCTGTTAACATTGGTAGAATATATTAAAGCCTTTCTATTAATTTCAATATTTTAATTTTGTATAGAAAACTAGGACTCTTATCATATTTAAGCACAGTTTAGTCAATTTTAAGAGTGACATAATAATACCGATTCTTACAATTAAACGAAAGTAGGGCCTAATCAAACATGAAGTCTATCGAAAGATTCTTCAACTAAAGAAGTTACGATAAAAAAAGAAAAAAGAAAAAAGAAAAAAGAAAAAAGAAAAAAGAAAAAAAGAAAAAAAATGACATTATAAGATCCTTGTTTTCATAAAAGAAGCCAAGAAAATTCTTCTTTCCTTTCAAAGTGAAGCTCAGCAACGAGAGCGTACATAACGCAGTTTCTTCCACGTATAGAAACAAAAAAGAGAACGAGAGAAAAAGAAAAAAAGAAGAAAAAAAAGAGATTGTTTAAATGTAAAATGTTTTTCGCTTGCAAAATCTTTTCTACATTAGCTTCAGAAAACGATTCTCTCGATTTCCTTTTGTTGAGAAAAACGCAGAGAGAATAGAAGAAGAAAAAAGAGATGAAAGAAAATACCGACTACTGATCAAACACGCAACACAGTCTTAGGCAGGTCAACGAGCGGCTGCGCATCACTATTATATAGCAAGCGATACTTATATACGTAATCAAATTAAACGATTATGTATAAATTATATTACATATATATATATATATATATATATATATATA